CTGGTATTCAAATTCAGGCTCCAGACCCTGCTCTTCAGCTCCGCGCAAACTCCCGAAACACTGAATTATATATGGATGTCGATCTCGAGAGATATGCCCCCAAATTCTCATTTTAGCCCTGTCCTACTGAACATTTTAAAAAATGATATATATAGAGAAACTAAAAGATTGCTGATAAAATCAAGAATGACCTGAAATTTGGAGGAATAGCTAAGATTTTCTGATGACAGAATGAGAATTCAAAAATATCTCAACAGACCAAAATGATCTAAAAGTAAAATTACATTTAATGGGTAAATGTGAGATCTTGAATTATAGGTAAAAATACAAAACCAAACCAAACTCTATAGCCCTCACCGGCTTTGCTCAGTGGTTAGAGCATTGGTCTGAGGACCAGAGAGTCGCGGATTCAATTCCGGTCAAGGGCACGTACCTCAGTTGCGGTTCAGTCCCCAGCCCTGGTCAGGATCGTGAGGGAGGCGACCAGTGGATGTGTCTCTCTCTCACATTGAAGTCTCTCTCTCCCCCGACCCACCCAACTCTGTCTGAAGATAAATGGGAAAAAAATATCCTCAGGTGAGGATTTAAAAAACTAACTAAATAAAAAGAAAACCCTACAAATACAACATAAAAAAAATAAGGCTGATTTCAACTATTTCTTCTTACAAGTTAATGTCTTGATGGGTCCCTGCCGGCCGTCCCACTGCCTCTCTCTGGCTCAGGCCCCCCTGCCCCTCTCCCACCGCCATATGCTGCTGCAGTCCATCTTCCACGCAGCTCAGCAACATCTCCCTGAAGCACAGCCTGCACCTGGTCCCCCTCCCTCACCTTCACTGGCTCCCCACCACCTACTTCAGGCCAAGTCCTTGAGCCTGGCACTCAAGATCCTCCACCATTCTGGCTCAGCCTTCCTTTCCAAAACCCCAAATCCATCATTTGTTCTTCCCTTTCCTACTCGTCCCCACCACCTTGACTGCAGATCCTTAGGCCTAAGGCTGTCTAAATCCTCCTCCCCCTTCACAAGGCCTGTCTCACGTCCTTCCCCCAGCCCTTCTCGGCCTCCTCAGGTAACTCCTTCCTCCGGGAGCATCCTGCCCTGTCTTCTGTCGCACACTGATGCTGTGGCTACATGCATGTCCTATTTCTGTGTCCCGTTTCCCTTTCTATCCTCTACAGGAGTGTAAGCTCATTAAAGGTACAACCTGACTGGTCGACTTCGTTGTCCCCACACTCACACGGGTCTTGGGTCTGATCAACACTCAGCACCTGACAATGCAATGAAGGGAGGTGACAGGAAGTACCAGCTCTGCGCCCTGCACAGGGAGTGATGGATGGTGTTGCTGAAGTGCAGAGCGCACACCCGGGTCTCCAGGCTCAGTGTGGAGCTGTCCTCTTAAAGCCAGGCAAGCCAAGCTAATGGGCGACAGACAAGGACGCCTGGGGCGGCTTATGAGAATCCGAGAATGTTCAGTCTGGGAGGTGTGGGGCGGGGAGGAGACAAAATGGGCGGTGAGAGCCAACTTCATGTACTGGAAGGGTTTTCATGTATCAGGATTAAACTAATTTGGGATCACTCCAGAAACAGAGGACTGTGTACAATGGACAGGGAGACATCATTTCAAAACAAGAAACGGCTCAGCAAGGCCCAGTCTGCTTTGTGGAGGCAGAGAGCTTCCCAGGGTCACAGACCATGAGGATAAGATCTGTAATCAGCAAGAAGCCCAGCTGTGGGAAGGTTAAAAATCTTCCCAAATAGCCAGAACAACAATAATACAGATGGCAGCCAGGCTTTAGATTCTAGAGTCAACCTGGCCTTATCTTGGGCAGGTTATGGAACACCTCCATTATAATTAATATTCACCAGCATTATTACTGGTTAGAATTATTGGTTGGCCGTAATGAAATATAAGCAGAAGAGGATATCACTTGCTTTAAAAAAAACAAACCAAAAAACTTAAAATTCAATGGAGGTTAACAATAAGTATAAAACAATGTTATTAAAATGCAACTGATTTTAAATATTTTTAATACTTAGTTTTAATATTTAAAATATGCTTTTTGACTCTCATTTGGTTGTCACACTGGTACAATAACTTTGGAGTGGGTTTTGTAAAGCTGAAAATATAACTCTGTGGCCCAGAAATCCCAATTGTACAGAACGAACCATGAGCGGTGGCCTTTTAGACTTTTATCTGTATATCACTTCAAAGGAATTTTGAAAAATGATATTCTCCTCCACACATTTAAAAATTGATATTTAATATTTTTCAGTATGAACTGAAATGGTAGCAAATTGTGGCTTATTATAAATAGTGACACTTTAAAGCGTGCCCAATGGACTCTCAATACCATAGGGATTTGATATCCACCATTATATACTTAAAATATATATGAATAATAAGCTCCTCTTTGACAGTTGGGTATTTTTCATTTTTCTCCTTGAATTATTTCTTAGTTCCTTACTGAATTTTATCCATTAGAAATATATATTTATGTTTGAAAGTATCTTATTGATTGTTCTAAGGTAGTGTTATGCAAAAAATTGATTGCAAAAATTAAAGTCTAAAATAAAATTAGAATTTTGTTACCATAACACTAAATTTGAACATTTTTTGTTTGAATTGCCATTATAAAAATTTTTTTATTATTTTTTAATCCTCACCCGAGGGCACTTTTTCCATTTTTCGTTCAGATAGAGTGGGAGGGAGAGAGGGAGGGAGGGAGGGAGGGAAGGAGGGGGGAGAGAGAGAGAGAGAGAGAGAGAGAGAGAGAGAGTGTGTGTGAAACATCACCGTGATTAAGGACACATGGAGTGGTCGCCACCTGCACAACCCAACCAGGGCCGGGGACAAACTGCAACTGAGATACGTGCCCTTAGCAGGAACCGAATTTGGGTCTCTCTGGACCGCAGGCTGACTCTAACCGCTGAGCCAAACCGGCCAGGGCGCCATTATAATAATTATTTAGTGCACAACTGATGATAACAATTACTGATTAAATGTATGATTTAAATCTAAATGTGTTATAATGTTTGTGAATCACTATTAAATAAAGTAAAATATTACTGGCAGCGCATCTCTCAGTGAGGCGGTTGGACTGCTTTTCCTTGACTGGCTGGTCCTGTGGATAAGCACTGGCCGCTGGAAGGGGGGAGGCGGGGCGCGCTCACGCTGGAAGGGGGGAGGCAGGGGCGCGCTCGCGCTGGAAGGGGGGAGGCGGGGGCGCGCTCACAGCTGGAAGGGGAGGCGGGGGCGCGCTCGCGCTGGAAGGGGGGAGGCGGGGGCGCGCTCACAGCTGGAAGGGGAGGCGGGGGCGCGCTCACAGCTGGAAGGGGGAGGCGGGGGCGCGCTCACAGCTGGAAGGGGGAGGCGGGGGCGCGCTCACAGCTGGAAGGGGGAGGCGGGGGCGTGCTCACAGCTGGAAGGGGGGAGGCGGGGGCGCGCTCACAGCTGGAAGGGGGGAGGCGGGGGCGCGCTCACAGCTGGAAGGGGGGAGGCGGGGGCGCGCTCACAGCTGGAAGGGGGAGGCGGGGGCGCGCTCGCGCTGGAAGGGGGAGGCGGGGGTGGGCTCACAGCTGGAAGGGGGGAGGCGGGGGCGCGCTCGCGCTGGAAGGGGGGAGGCGGGGGCGCGCTCACAGCTGGAAGGGGGAGGCGGGGGTGGGCTCACAGCTGGAAGGGGAGGCGGGGGTGGGCTCACAGCTGGAAGGGGAGGCGGGGGCGCGCTCGCAGCTGGAAGGGGGGAGGCGGGGGCACGCTCGCGCTGGAAGGGGGGAGGCGGGGGCACGCTCGCGCTGGAAGGGGGGAGGCGGGGGCACGCTCGCGCTGGAAGGGGGGAGGCGGGGGCGCGCTCGCGCTGGAAGGGGGGAGGCGGGGGCGCGCTCACGCTGGAAGGGGGGAGGTGGACCCACGTCGTATTCCTCAGCCAGAGTCCTCTTTCCTGACCACGGCTTCCTGGCTCACTCATAACGAATGACTCCTTATCATCTACTCTACAACCTCTAAATGTCCAAGTCCTATCTTTCAAGACCCTTTGCTATTTGGTCTTACTTTCTCTATTAAATGTTATCTCTTACTACCTTCTACTATGACATCAGCTCCATCCAAACTCCCTCCTCCCTGTCCCCCCTGAATAGCAAGCAATGAGTTCGCACCCCCTCTGCACCCCTGCAAAGGCCCAGCACACATCTCATCGTCTGTGAAGTCTTTCTGGACTCCCCTCTCCCCTTCTCTCTTGTTTATTCTCATATTCAGAATGGCATAAGTAGTACCCAATTACACACTGTACTTTACCTGCCTATGCTTAATTATACACCACATACCATTCAGTATTTTATTATACATTCTTTTCTCCCCTAATTGTTTTAGGTCTTGTGGACCAGATCATAATTTGTTCCTATTATTAGCTTTTTATGAGGAGTGCTATGATCTTTTCCATGAGCTCAAAGAGATTTTTGAACCCAGGGAAAGAAAATTAAGAGGGTAAAACGAAAGGTTTTCAAGTCCATAACAATGGTTTTTCATTTCCACGGATGCTAAAAACAGTGTAACTGTCTTTTCATGGCAGTAGGAAGGCTATAGATCAAACAATTGTAAGAAGTAAAACAATCATATGATAGATCATTAATAGGAGTTATTATGAGTTTGAAATTGCTTTACTTTAAAGATCGTTTAGAATCACCTGATGGACTAATCAAGCTCTGGAACTTCCTCAAGGAAGATAAATCTCATGATTCTGAGCTTTCATGAAAACCAAGGCTGACACTCGTTGAAGCCACCCAATGGCAGTCCAGGTGGCTCTGTCCCTTCCATTCCTCGGTGGGTATGACTCTGCTAGCACCTACGAGACTATCTCAGTGGCACATGGTCTCATCAGGCCCCTGACAAATTCTAAGGTGGCCCTTTTCTCTAATGGGGGGAAGTCAGGCTCTGAAGGCGGTATCAGCAACCAGAACAATGGTCAGGTTCTCAGGGGACTCCGCCTGGGTCCCGCAGACGCGCTACCTGTAGGCCGCCGTGCAGGTGTCCTTGTACTCCTGGAGCTTCACGCACACCATGTTGAGGAACTGATCTGAGTACGCGCTCAGGTCGTGCATCAGATTCATGAGGTCTTGCACTGTCTTCTCCATGACGATGGTGCTCTGGAAAGAACACAGAGGACAGGCTCAGGAGTTGTTTTCTTTCTACTTAAGTAATATGTAGAATAAGGAAGGACAAATAAAATAACGCCATGGTTTAAGACACTCCAGTTTCTCTGGGAGGATGTGACATTTAAAACTATTGATTAAAAATGACAACAGAAGAAGTATCTTACATAGAGCTGGACTTACAAAGATCTGAGAAAGTGTTTTCTTTCTTTTTTTTTTTTTTGTTAATCCTCACCCGAGGATATTTTTTCCATTGATTTTTAGAGAATAGAAGGTTGGGAGGGAGGGGGTTGGGAGAGAGAGACAGAGAGACATCGATGTGAGAGAGACACATCAACTGGATGCCTCCAGCACATGCCCAGACCAGGCCAGGGGATCGAACCTACAACCCAGGTACATGCTCTTGACTGGGAATTGAACCCATGACCCTCTGATGTGCAGGCCGATGCTCTAACCACTGTCCCACACTGGCCAGGGCAGAGAGTGTTTTCTGTGGAAGCACACAGGACAGGGATTTTCAGATTGATTTCATTCTACGCGGTCACAAGATGTCTGTGGCTTTTCAGAAGGTGAATTCATATTCAGCTGGGGCCTCACTTATCACCTCCAGGGCTCTACTTGGAGATGAGGGACCGACGACAGGCAGCACAAAGAAAACGCCTTCCATGATTTGTTTTAAAAGTTTCAAAACCATCACCTGATTAAGAATAACAACTAACACCTGTAGTGTACCTGACAGCCCCTAGAATGTCTTTACATACACAGCGGATGTTATCTCACTTGAGTCATATAAAGATCGCGATCGTGAACCTTCACTGGGTTCTTGCAAGTACCGGGTACAGTGCTAGGGTTCTCCACACTCTGCCTCCCTGGCAGGTGAACCCTGCACCATCCCTGCCTGACAGACGAACGGACAGGCTGAGAAGGTAGTGAACACAGTGAGGGCTCCAGGCGCGACCTGCGTGCTGCCTGGAGCCCCATCCCCCTCACGAGGCCACAGTATTTCCGATGCTGCCGCCACTGTAGGAGTGTCCACACAGGCTCAGACCTGCGGTGCTTTAGACTGCACTTGAGAAATCTGCAAAGGCAAAAACAAGCCCATCTTACAGCTAGAGGCAGACAGTGTGTGGCTGTAATCAGTGTTGCATCTGGAGAGAGGCATGTTCAGTGAATTCTCAATCTTTAAGAAGAGACCTAGTGGTTCAAACCATTAGTGCCTCTTCTGAAAGGGGCAGAATCACACCGGGGTAAATACTCACCACATGCTCAGCAGCCTGCAATCCTCGGGTCAGTGAGTGGTTTGTTGGAGACGTGTTTACTCAGCTAGGACTGCCTGAGCTGCGGTAGACTTGGCCATAAAGTAACAAAAACTTTTCCAGCCTGACAGAGCCCCATAAAAGAACCAAAGGCGCCCTGGCCAGTTTTGCTCAGTGGTTAGAGCGTCGGCCTGCGGTCCAGAGAGACCCGGGTTCGGTTCCCGCTAAGGGCATTTACCTCGGTTGCGGTTTGTCCCCAGCTCTGGTTGGTCATGCGGGTGGCAGCCACTTGATGTGTCCCTTTGACGTTGATGTTTCTCTTTCTCTCTCTCTCTCCTCCCCCCTCCCACTCTGTCTGAACAAAAAAAATAGAAAAATGTCCTCAGGTGAGGATAAAAAAAAAAGAACCAAAGGCATTTTATAATGCAGACAGTGGGGTAGAGGGTTTTGGTTCAGTGTTTTTCCTTCTAAACAGAATGAATACAAGTGTACAGCTTTTCTCTACACAAAGGAGGATCAGCTTGAGTTATGTGTTTACCTGTGTATGTCTATTCAAGGTTATTTGGTTGTAGGGGTTTCCTAGCTTCTTCCCCTCCTCCCACCCCCCCACCCGACCTCAAAGTAAAATAATCAGGTGAAAAGGAAGGAACAGTTCTATTCGCTAAGGCAAACCAAATTACCGTCTCTATAGAATCCCCACAAGTTCGACTTCCTTTTCTGTATTGATTTTCAGATTAAAACACTGCAGCTTCACCCTGATCCACAATCCTGTGTGTGTGTGTGTGTGTGTGTGTGTGTGTGTGTGTGAGCGACAGGAATTGATTCTGCTTAGCTACATGTCCCCGAGCTGCTAAGAGGAACCCACAACCCTCATGGTGATTCAGAGCTCGGATATCCTACAGCATGTGGACAGCAGTGACCAAAGGGGAGCGGACGTCAGCCTGCCCGACACAGCGGGTTTAACATCCAAAACCCTGCAGGGAAGATGGGCGGGGAGGACGCTCAGATTACTGAGACAGGGCCTGGCTCTATTTCCAATCGTGCGATTGATAATCAACTCTGGGGCAGGTTTGGGTAACCTCTTCTTTCTTATGACTCAATTTACTCTTCTAATAACCGAGGATAATGGGATGGCGCCTCTAATCGACTGGCCCCGTCACTCGGTGTTCAGTTGGTGCTCTGGAGCCGCTGCCCTGGGAAATAAACACTGTGCAGGGTGCTGGCCTTCCTGACCAGACTGTCAACTTCCCAAAAGCCAGACTGGCTTCTTCTTTTCCTTTCGCCCTCCCCCACTGCCACGTGTTCGTAATTTCTCAGGACAATACCACTAATTAAAGAAAACAGTCCTAACAACATTAATGTTCATCAATAAACCTCTCTGAGTGTCATATGTGAGGGATACACAGGCATCTCCGTGTTCTGAAATCTCTTTGGGTGGGTTCAGCCTGTCTGTATTTGCCCTAGAACTGTGCTGGGGACAGTGGGGGACAGCACGCCCAGAGGGCCATCCCTGGAGACGAGGGTTTGGGCCACACAGGAAGTACCACAGGAAATGATGAGAAGGTGATGGTCTAATGCCCTCGGCAAAGGCCCTGCGTGACGCTGCAGATTACACACCATTTTCCCGCTGCTCAGCGGGTCTACTTTGTCGCGGCGGTCCCTGCATAACCACCCGCTACACTCTCTTCACAGAAATGACACTAGTTTGCCAAATGATGGGTATTTTTACAAGGGAAAAAGGTTCCCATTTTTCAGGAATTTAGAACAATTTCCAAATCAGGGGCTCTGACAGATAAATGTTGAAAATAGCAAATTTCTAACAAGGTCAGTTCTGTTTTTATATATGATCTCTTTGGCCTCACAAATGATTCCTTGATTCATTATTAAGTTGGGGGTTTGCCAATATGAAATGACTTCTAGCAAGTACAACCCGGATTTTATTCATTGTAACGTCTATGAAATATATCCTACATGATATTTGTTCAGGAAAAACTCAATTCTCATTTCTTGCAATTTATTACCAGGTAATAAAGTCTGGGCATGACATGAAAATGAGAAAAATATTTTAAAAAATCCCAGAGTAGCTGATGCTATGAAAACTAAACAATTAAAGTTTCTTACAGGAGTACACTAGCAATCCAACATAGAAAGAGGGCGTGTGGCCAGCTCTTTCGTTCTGCACTTTTAAAAACTGAATGAATAAATGAAGATGATCCATGGGGCCTTGTCCATTTTTTGCCGAAATGGGGCAGCATGGTACTGACAGTGATGTTATAGAAAATGGGCTCTGAGCTCAAATAATTCCACAAATGCTGAGTTAAGAAAATTGCAGTGCTTTTCTTCACTGGAGGACTGGAAATCTTTAATATGCTGATGTTACTGTGAGTCTTAAAGAGAATGGAGTCATCGAACTTTCCCTAACAATTGAAGAAGAGAAATTTTCCCTAGCATATCTTTTCATACCCACTGGAACTGTGTTTCCAGAATATGGTTTGGGGACGACTCTCCCCATTTCTCTGGTCATACTGCTGAGACACTACGCCGAATGACATGCTGGAGGACACACAAGGAGTCCTGGTGGAATCCAGGTCTCATCCTTCGCGGTCATGCCCCTCCCTCCACGCCCAGCTTTGGAAGCTCTGGGCCCTGCCTCCCGCTCTAGCCTCTCTCCAGCTGCCCTGAGCATGCCCGCCCTGTGCCCACCACACGACGCTACGGTCATTCTTTGCTTGCACCAGACTCCTTCCTGCCTCTGTGACGTTGAGCTTCCCAATCTCTGTGCTTGGCACGCCCTTCCTAGCTCCTGCCTCTCATAACTGCAGAGGCAGCTCAAGGGTTACCTGCCAATTTAAGTGTCCCTCTTCTGTGCCAGCAGAGCACCCTGGGCATCATTTTAGCTCAGGCTTCAAATGGGTTAGTCCAACCACTGGTTACGTACTTAGCAGTCTCTGCTGCTAGACTCTACATTCCTTTGATGAGTGTCTATACCTCTATCCCCACTACCAATGAGCAAGGCATTTGGCAATACATGTTTATTACATGAATTAATGCAAATGCATAGCATATTTGGAACAGGGTGAAACACAGATTTAGAGTAAAAATATAATGCCAAGTAGTGAGTTAAAACCGTGACCTGTGAGGTAGAATCAGACCACAGCCTCTTCCTTACTCCAGTGCTGTGTCTTCATCCCCAAGTTAAGACTCAGCCTTCGTCGTCATAAAACGTCTTAGATTTTTCTACAGAAACACTCATTTCACCTGTGTTATTTCCTGTACCATCAATCGTTTTATATGTACAACTAAATGCACTGATTTTAAAGTTTTAGACTTATAAATAAATTCACAATTTGGAGGAAAAAACACACGTTTGGACCATGCAGACTGTGCTACTTCACTCGTGGAGCACGGGTGGTTCAGATACGCTGCAGAGAACCAAGGTTCTGGGAATGCTCTAGGCTCAATTTGAAAGAAAACGTATGCAAATCAGCCATCACTGCAGACACACCCACCACACACACACCCACCACACACACACACCTCCCACACACCATACACTCACACACACCCACCATACACACCCACCACATACACACACACACCCACCACACACACACCACACACACCACACACACCCACCATACACACCCCCCCACCTACCACACCCACCATAGACACCCACCACACACACACCCCCACCACACCCACACACCCACCATACACACACACCCCACACACACA